GGGGTTTTCGTTATAAACTAAACAAGCTGAATAGACAGCATTCACTTGGCTATAAGTCACTTGGCTATAAGTCACTTGGCTATAAGTCACTTGGCTATAAGTCACTTGGTTATAAGTCACTTGGCTATAAGTCACTTGGCTATAAGTCACTTGGCTATAAGTCACTTGGCTATAAGTCACTTGGCTATAAGTCACTTGGTTATAAGTCACTTGGCTATAAGTCACTTGGCTATAAATCACTTGGCTATAAGTCACTTGGCTATAAGTCACTTGGCTATAAGTCACTTGGCTATAAGTCACTTGGTTATAAGTCACTTGGCTATAAGTCACTTGGCTATAAGTCACTTGGCTATAAGTCACAATTGCAGGTTCTTATTTCTTTTATTTTTATTGTCTTTATCTCATGATAACATATTTTAATAGACCACACTGACATACCTTTCAGCTTTTATGTTCATATTTGGACCAGCAGTGTGAAATTATCTCTGGGTTTTTCTATATTGGATTTTCTCTCTGCACTGGAACAGCTGATGTGACCTATCTCCTTCAAGGCCTCTGTGGGAGGGGTTTGGGTGCAGTGACCTATCTCCTTCAAGGCCTCTGTGGGAGGGGTTTGGGTGCAGTGCAGAAGGGAGAATGAGGGAGAGTCAAAACAGTGTGGAAGTGGAGGGAAGGTTGGGAAGGTTGGGAAGGTTGGGAAGGTTGGGAAGGTTGGGAAGGTTGAGAAGGTTGGGGAGGTTGGGAAGGTTGGGAAGGTTGGGAAGGTTGGGAAGGTTGGGAAGGTTGGGGGTGGAATACGCAGCTGCTGTGTGATACCGACCTCAGATCAGCTCAGGGTTGGTATTCAGGAATTCTGATCTACTCTGAAACAGTTGATGAATACTGGCCCTGGTCTACCAGGCCTGTTAGAGACTGATCTTAGATCAGGTCTGTTCTGTACTAGAACACACTCTGCAGTTTTGTTCCCCCTTGGCTGTGTATGACTCTGAAGAGACTTTATCGCCGGCGGTAACATCAGACACATCGCGTGGTGGCCGTCAATCGTTTCCTCTTTGATACAGCATACAAACAGCCTGGACTGCCAACCATTACACAGATAAGCAGTGTGTGGCCCTGGGCTATGGTAGAATAGATGCCTACAGTTAGTCAGAGATACCATATCTTTATGAACAGTAGGCTAATGACAACCAATGCTGCTAAGCAGGACACAGCTTTTAAATGTTGTTGGGAGGGTCAGCTAAGTTGAGCCGTTCATAGGACGCAGCAGGTCACATAAAGGAAGGATGTCAAAGTATTTGTGGGTGGACGGCAATCCCTGTACTGCACCATCCTCGGCTCCCTTTGAATTCTGGTTCGACCCTTGACTGCCTTAGAACAGCTGCATGCAGGCTTCACTGTATGAGGAATATAGGTCCATGGAGGAAGGTTCTAGACTCTATTCCTGTAGTCACAGAGAGAGACTGTGGAAGGTTCTAGACTATATTCCTGTAGTCACAGAGAGAGACTGTGGAAGGTTCTAGACTATATTCCTGTAGTCACAGAGAGAGACTGTGGAAGGTTCTAGACTATATTCCTGTAGTCACAGAGAGAGACTGTGGAAGGTTCTAGACTATATTCCTGTAGTCACAGAGAGAGACTGTGGAAGGTTCTAGACTCTATTCCTGTAGTCACAGAGAGAGACTGTGGAAGGTTCTAGACTATATTCCTGTAGTCACAGAGAGAGACTGTGGAAGGTTCTAGACTATATTCCTGTAGTCACAGAGAGAGACTGTGGAAGGGTCTAAACTCTATTCCTGTAGTCACAGAGAGAGACTGTGGAAGGGTCTAGACTCTATTCCTGTAGTCACAGAGAGAGTCTGTGGAAGGGTCTAAACTCTATTCCTGTAGTCACAGAGAGAGACTGTGGTAGGGTCTAAACTCTATTCCTGTAGTCACAGAGAGAGACTGTGGAAGGGTCTAAACTCTATTCCTGTAGTCACAGAGAGAGACTGTGGAAGGGTCTAAACTCTATTCCTGTAGTCACAGAGAGAGACTGTGGAAGGGTCTAGACTCTATTCCTGTAGTCTCAGAGAGAGACTGTGGAAGGGTCTAGACTCTATTCCTATAGTCACAGAGAGAGACTGTGGAAGGGTCTAGACTCTATTCCTGTAGTCACAGAGAGAGACTGTGGAAGGGTCTAAACTATATTCCTGTAGTCACAGAGAGAGACTGTGGAAGGGTCTAAACTCTATTCCTGTAGTCACAGAGAGAGACTGTGGTAGGGTCTAAACTCTATTCCTGTAGTCACAGAGAGATACTGTGGAAGGGTCTAAACTCTATTCCTGTAGTCACAGAGAGAGACTGTGGAAGGGTCTAGACTCTATTCCTGTAGTCACAGAGAGAGACTGTGGAAGGGTCTAGACTCTATTCCTGTAGTCACAGAGAGAGTCTGTGGAAGGGTCTAAACTCTATTCCTGTAGTCACAGAGAGAGACTGTGGTAGGGTCTAAACTCTATTCCTGTAGTCACAGAGAGAGACTGTGGAAGGGTCTAAACTCTATTCCTGTAGTCACAGAGAGAGACTGTGGAAGGGTCTAAACTCTATTCCTGTAGTCACAGAGAGAGACTGTGGAAGGGTCTAGACTCTATTCCTGTAGTCTCAGAGAGAGACTGTGGAAGGGTCTAGACTCTATTCCTGTAGTCACAGAGAGAGACTGTGGAAGGGTCTAGACTCTATTCCTGTAGTCACAGAGAGAGACTGTGGAAGGGTCTAAACTCTATTCCTGTAGTCACAGAGAGAGGACTGTGGTAGGGTCTAAACTCTATTCCTGTAGTCACAGAGAGATACTGTGGAAGGGTCTAAACTCTATTCCTGTAGTCACAGAGAGATACTGTGGAAGGGTCTAAACTCTATTCCTGTAGTCACAGAGAGAGACTGTGGAAGGGTCTAAACTCTATTCCTGTAGTCACAGAGAGAGACTGTGGAAGGGTCTAAACTATATTCCTGTAGTCACAGAGAGAGACTGTGGAAGGGTCTAAACTCTATTCCTGTAGTCACAGAGAGAGACTGTGGAAGGGTCTAGACTCTATTCCTGTAGTCACAGAGAGAGACTGTGGAAGGGTCTAGACTCTATTCCTGTAGTCACAGAGAGAGACTGTGGAAGGGTCTAAACTCTATTCCTGTAGTCACAGAGAGAGACTGTGGAAGGGTCTAAACTCTATTCCTGTAGTCACAGAGAGAGACTGTGGTAGGGTCTAAACTCTATTCCTGTAGTCACAGAGAGAGACTGTGGAAGGGTCTAAACTCTATTCCTGTAGTCACAGAGAGAGACTGTGGAAGGGTCTAGACTCTATTCCTGTAGTCACAGAGAGAGACTGTGGAAGGGTCTAGACTCTATTCCTGTAGTCACAGAGAGAGACTGTGGAAGGGTCTAAACTATATTCCTGTAGTCACAAAGAGAGACTGTGGAAGGGTCTAAACTCTATTCCTGTAGTCACAGAGAGAGACTGTGGAAGGGTCTAGACTCTATTCCTGTAGTCACAGAGAGAGACTGTGGAAGGGTCTAAACTCTATTCCTGTAGTCACAGAGAGAGACTGTGGAAGGGTCCTAAACTCTATTCCTGTAGTCACAGAGAGAGACTGTGGAAGGGTCTAAACTCTATTCCTGTAGTCACAGAGAGAGACTGTGGAAGGGTCTAGACTCTATTCCTGTAGTCACAGAGAGAGACTGTGGAAGGGTCTAAACTCTATTCCTGTAGTCACAGAGAGAGACTGTGGAAGGGTCTAAACTCTATTCCTGTAGTCACAGAGAGAGACTGTGGAAGGGTCTAAACTCTATTCCTGTAGTCACAGAGAGAGACTGTGGAAGGGTCTAAACTCTATTCCTGTAGTCACAGAGAGAGACTGTGGAAGGGTCTAAACTCTATTCCTGTAGTCACAGAGAGAGACTGTGGAAGGGTCTAAACTCTATTCCTGTAGTCACAGAGAGAGACTGTGGAAGGGTCTAAACTATATTCCTGTAGTCACAGAGAGAGACTGTGGTAGGGTCTAAACTCTATTCCTGTAGTCACAGAGAGAGACTGTGGAAGGGTCTAAACTCTATTCCTGTAGTCACAGAGAGAGACTGTGGAAGGGTCTAAACTCTATTCCTGTAGTCACAGAGAGAGACTGTGGAAGGGTCTAAACTCTATTCCTGTAGTCACAGAGAGAGACTGTGGAAGGGTCTAAACTCTATTCCTGTAGTCACAGAGAGAGACTGTGGAAGGGTCTAAACTCTATTCCTGTAGTCACAGAGAGAGACTGTAGTAGGGTCTAAACTCTATTCCTGTAGTCACAGAGAGAGACTGTGGAAGGGTCTAAACTCTATTCCTGTAGTCACAGAGAGAGACTGTGGAAGGGTCTAAACTCTATTCCTGTAGTCACAGAGAGAGACTGTGGAAGGGTCTAAACTCTATTCCTGTAGTCACAGAGAGAGACTGTGGAAGGGTCTAGACTATATTCCTGTAGTCACAGAGAGAGACTGTGGAAGGGTCTAAACTCTATTCCTGTAGTCACAGAGAGAGACTGTGGAAGGGTCTAAACTCTATTCCTGTAGTCACAGAGAGAGACTGTGGAAGGGTCTAGACTCTATTCCTGTAGTCACAGGTGGACGGGTCTAAACTCTATTCCTGTAGTCACAGAGAGAGACTGTGGAAGGGTACTTCCCCCCCCCTAACTCTATTCCTGTAGTCACAGAGAGAGACTGTGGAAGGGTCTAAACTCTATTCCTGTAGTCACAGAGAGAGACTGTGGTAGGGTCTAAACTCTATTCCTGTAGTCACAGAGAGAGACTGTGGAAGGGTCTAAACTCTATTCCTGTAGTCACAGAGATAGACTGTGGAAGGGTCTAAACTCTATTCCTGTAGTCACGAGAGAGACTGTGGAAGGGTCTAAAACTCTATTCCTGTAGTCACAGAGAGAGACTGTGGAAGGGTCTAAACTCTATTCCTGTAGTCACAGAGAGAGACTGTGGAAGGGTCTAAACTCTATTCCTGTAGTCACAGAGAGAGACTGTGGAAGGGTCTAAACTCTATTCCTGTAGTCACAGAGAGAGGACTGTGGAAGGGTCTAAACTCTATTCCTGTAGTCACAGAGAGAGACTGTGGAAGGGTCAAACTCTATTCCTGTAGTCAAAGAGAGAGACTGTGGAAGGGTCTAAAACTCTATCTCCTGTAGTCACAGAGAGAGGACTGTGGAGGGTCTAAACTCTAGTCCTGTAGTCACAGAGAGAGGACTGTGGAAGGGTCTAAAACGCTATTCCTGTAGTCACAGAGAGAGACTGTGGTAAGGGTCTAAACTCTATTCCTGTAGTCACAGAGAGAGACTGTGGTAGGGTCTAAACTCTATTCCTGTAGTCACAGAGAGAGACTGTGGGAAGGGTCTAAACTCTATTCCTGTAGTCACAGAGAGGGACTGTGGTAGGGTCTAAAACTCTATTCCTGTAGTCACAGAGAGGACTGTGGAAGGGTCTAAACTCTATTCCGTAGTCACAGACTGTAGTCACAGAGAGAGACTGTGGAAGGGTCTAAACTCTATTCAGTTAAAGTCACAGAGAGAGACTGTGGAAGGTCTAAACTCTCTTCCTGTAGTCACAGAGAGAGACTGTGGGAAGGGTCTAAACTCTTCCTGTAGTCACAGAGAGAGACTGTGGAAGGGTCTAAACTCTATTCCTGTAGTCACAGAGAGAGACTGTGGAAGGGTCTAAACTCTCTTCCTGTAGTCACAGAGAGAGACTGTGCTTTAAAGATTAAGTAATAACTGCACATCATTATCTCTCCCCTGAGAGTCTTTGTCTGTTTTCCAAATTGAGTTCCTTCCCAGCCTATATCTGCTGTGGAGTATGCTCAGTGTAAAGTCTGCTGTTCCAACATAATACCTACCTACAGGCACAGACAGGGAGGATAAGGCAGCATCTGAATCTGTTACAACTCACATTGAACCTTTTCTTTGAATAAGTTCTCTCTCTCTCTCTCTCTCCTCTCTTCTCAGCCTCTCTCTCCTCTCTCTCTTTCCTACTCGCTCTCTCTATCTCTCTCCTATCTCTCTCACTCCATTACCTCCATCCTTACCTCCTCCTCAACTCCCGACCTCCCCCCTCCCTCCCTCCAGCACTTGCAGGCGGAGATCCCACCAGAAGGGAAGAGGCAGAGACAACCTGTCGGCCATTCAGAGCTGGAGTCACACTTCCCTCTCCTTATCTCTTTCTTTGGCTGCCTTCAGAACTTTCTCTCTTCCCATATACATGCAGTCAGGTTAGATCAATGATAACAGTGCAGAGTGTGAGAAAAACATGATCTGAAGCTGCAATTGTTCCCTAGTCTCTCTCTCTCTCTCTCTCTCTCTCTCTCTCTCTCTCTCTCTCTCTCTCTCTTCTCTCTCCCTCTCCTCTCTCTCTCTCTACTCTCTCCTCTCCCCCCCTCTCTCTCTCCTATCTCTCAGTATGTCGGCTCTCGTCTTGGGAAAGGACTTATGCTGAAACGTCAATATTAAACGTGAACTATATCCCATGTTCTTGTTCTGTTGCTGTAGGATGTGGACTCTGCCACCCTGGCCAGGCTGGACCTGGAGAGACGCATCGAGAGCCTGCAGGAGGAGATCGCCTTCCTCAAGAAGATTCATGAAGAGGTCAGTATGGTCCTGCAGGGCCCTTTGAGATAACTCATAACCTTTTCACACTACTGAGCCAAGCCAGGCGAATCTGAACTGGGCTGGCCTGTTTACGCTTCTACCATATTTGCTGGAACCATGCTACAAGGTCAATGTGAACAGAACATATCCAAACCAGTACATTGTGCTGTAGAAACAGGAGATAGGCTCCTGCCCTATACTCCCAGATACTGTACTCCCAACCACTATACTCCCAGCTACTATACTCCCATCTACTGTACTACCAGCTACTGTACTCCAAGCTACTGTACTCCCAGCTACTATACTCCCAGCTACTATACTCCCAGCTACTATACTCCCAGCTACTATACTCCCAACCACTATACTCCCAGCTACTGTACTCCCAGCTACTGTACTCCCAGCTACTATACTCCCATCTACTATACTCCAAACCACTATACTCCCAGCTACTGTACTCCCAGCTACTATACTCCCAACCACTATACTCCCAGCTACTGTACTCCCAGCTACTGTACTCCCAGCTACTATACTCCCATCTACTGTACTACCAGCTACTATACTCCAAACCACTATACTCCCAGCTACTATACTCCCAGCTACTATACTCCCAGCTACTATACTCCCAGCTACTATACTCCCAGCTACTATACTCCCAGCTACTATACTCACAGCTACTATACTCCCAGCTACTATACTCCCAGATACTATGCTACCAGCTACTGTACTCCAAGCTACTGTACTCCAAGCTACTATACTCCCAGCTACTATACTCCCAGCTACTATACTCCCAGCTACTATACTCCCAGATACTATTCTCCCAGCTACTATACTCCCAGTTACTATACTCCAAGCTACTATACTCCAAGCTGATATACTCCCAGCTACAATACTCCCAGCTACTGTACTCCCAGCTACTATACTCCCATCTACTGTACTACCAGCTACTGTACTCCAAGCTACTGTACTCCCAGCTACTATACTCCCAGCTACTATACTCCCAGCTACTATACTCCCAGCTACTATACTCCCAGCTACTGTACTCCCAGCTACTGTACTCCCAGCTACTATACTCCCATCTACTGTACTACCAGCTACTATACTCCAAACCACTATACTCCCAGCTACTATACTCACAGCTACTATACTCCCAGCTACTATACTCCCAGATACTATGCTACCAGCTACTGTACTCCCAGATACTATGCTACCAGCTACTGTACTCCAAGCTACTGTACTCCAAGCTACTATACTCCCAGCTACTATACTCCCAGCTACTATACTCCCAGATACTATTCTCCCAGCTACTATACTCCCAGTTACTATACTCCAAGCTACTATACTCCAAGCTGATATACTCCCAGATACTGTACTCCCAGCTACAATACTCCCAGCTACTGTACTCCCAGCTACTATACCCCCAGCTACTGTACTCCCAGCTACTATACTCCAAGCTACTATACTCCCAGATACTGTACTCCAAGCTACTGTACTCCCAGCTACTATACTCCAAGCTACTAGTCATGCCCTGCACAGTGGGTGGGACTTTCCTGGTTTCTAAAGGCATAGGTCATAATTTCTATAGCAAGTGGATCATATATGTGACACTCACTCCTATGGTAGCCTGAACATTCTGGGCAAATATAACACACATACTTACTGTGAACACACACACGCACCGCACACCACGCACACACATACACACAACCGTACAGTTACACAGTGCACAGTGGATGGAGGAACTTTGATCTGGTTTCTAAAGTCAGATCCTTTCATGCTTTCTCTTCTGACATTTGACTTCAGTGCTATGCTGGCCTGTCTTGGTGAAGGCAGAGTGTCAGCTGGGCCTGGCCTGTGACATGGAGGGCCCTCTGTTCAACAGATGCACAGCTAAAATTAAACCATGAGAGAGAGAGATTGGCAGCTGGGAAATATGTAGGACAGAGAGAGAGACCATTGGTCCTGTATATGTAGGACAGAGAGAGAGAGAGAGACCATTGGTCCTGTCTATGTAGGACAGAGAGAGAGAGAGACCATTGGTCCTGTCTATGTAGCACAGAGAGAGAGAGAGAGACCATTGGTCCTGTCTATGTAGGACAGAGAGAGAGAGAGAGAGAGACCATTGGTCCTGTCTATGTAGGACAGAGAGAGAGAGACCATTGGTCCTGTCTATGTAGGACAGAGATATATAGAGAGAGACCATTGGTCCTGTCTATGTAGGACAGAGAGAGAGAGATACCATTGGTTCTGTATATGTAGGACAGAGAGAGAGAGAGAGAGAGAGAAAAAGACCATTGGTCCTGTCTATGTAGGACAGAGAGAGAGAGAGAGAGAAAGAGACCATTGGTCCTGTCTATGTAGGACAGAGAGAGAGAGAGAGAGAGAGAGAGAGAGAGAGAGAGAGAGAGAGAGAGAGAGAGAGAGAGGAGAGAGAGATAGAGATCCGAGAGAGGAGAGAGAGAGAGACCATTGGTGCTGTCTATGTAGGACAGAGAGAGAGAGACACCATTGGTCCTGTATATGTAGGACAGAGAGAGAGAGAGACCATTGGTCCTGTATATGTAGGACAGGGAGAGAGAGACCATTGGTCCTGTCTATGTAGGACAGAGAGAGAGCGAGACGGAACCATTGGTCCTGTCTATGTAGGACAGAGAGAGAGAGAGAGAGAGAGAGCATTGGTCCTGTCTATGTAGGACAGAGAGAGAGAGAGACCATTGGTCCTGTCTATATAGGACAGAGAGAGAGAGAGACCATTGATCCTGTCTATGTAGGACAGAGAGGGAGAGAGAGAGAGTCCATTGGTCCTGTCTATGTAGGACAGAGAAAGAGAGAGAGACCATTGGTCCTGTCTATGTAGGACAAAGAGAGAGATACCATTGGTCCTGTCTATATAGGACAGAGAGAGAGAGAGACCATTGGTCCTGTCTATGTAGGACAGAGAGAGAGAGAGACCATTGGTCCTGTCTATGTAGGACTGAGAGAGAGTGAGAGAGAGACCATTGGTCCTGTATATGTAGGACAGAGAGAGAGAGAGACCATTGGTCCTGTCTATTGTAGGAGCCAGAGTTTCTGTAAATTGAATGACTCAGGAAAGTTGAGGAAAGAAGGATCTCATTATGCTAAAGGTTGATAATCCTTGAAAAGGAAAATACACAACACTTGCTCACCATAAAACCGTATTATTTAATTTAAGCAACTATAAAAAGCTTGACGTTTCAGCCTTCATCGATGACCTTCATCAGAACCTCTTTTCACAAAGACTAGTAATCCAAATAAAATCCTGTTTATACTACTACGAAGAACATCCCTGCGTCACTCTCCACTGTAGCATAGAGATTCTGATTCTTGCATATAAAACCACTCTGATACAATGCTAGTTGACCCCTATAACACCTGACCTCTGACCCCGGACCTTTAATGCCTAATCTTTCACATCTGACCTCAAACCCCTGCAGGAGATCCATGAGCTGACGAGCCAGATGCAGGAGACCTCAGTACAGGTCCAGATGGACATGTCCAAACCGGACCTGACCGCTGCCCTCAGGGACATCCGCATGCAGTACGAGGGCATCGCCGCCAAGAACATCTCAGAGGCAGAGGACTGGTACAAGTCCAAGGTAAACACCACCTATAATACACAGTAGTATTATATATTCTGGTACAGGACAGAGGACTGGTGCAAGTCCAAGGTAAACACCACCTATAATACACAGTAGTATTATATATTCTGGTACAGTGCAGAGGACTGGTACAAGTCCAAGGTAAACACCACCTATAATACACAGTAGTATTATATATTCTGGTACAGTGCAGAGGACTGGTACAAGTCCAAGGTAAACACCACCTATAATACACAGTAGTATTATATATTCTGGTACAGTGCAGAGGACTGGTACAAGTCCAAGGTAAACACCACCTATAATACACAGTAGTATTATATATTCTGGTACAGTGCAGAGGACTGGTGCAAGTCCAAGGTAAACACTAGAAATATGGGTGGGTAATGACAGTGGGGTCATGGTTAGAGAGGCTTGCTGCCATCGTGATGGTTGAGATAATTGTCTTAGGACCGTACAGAACAGGGCTGGGCTTTATTCTGTTTCAATTCAGTTCATTCATTCAATTGGAATGAAATGAAATCGACCCCAACCCTGGCACAGAACATGATAAAATCCCAACATTATCTGTGTGTGACTGCCAGTGATAGATAAGCCAAAGCTGTATATGATATGTGGACTGGGACAGTCGCTAAGCCAGCATCTATTCTAACCCATGTCTCCACTTCCTCTCCAGGTGTCAGACCTGAACCAGGCTGTGAACAAGAACAACGATGCTCTGAGACAGGCCAAACAGGAGAGCATGGAGTTCAGACACCAAGATCCAGTCCTACACCTGCGAGATCGACTCTCTCAAGGGAACCGGAGTACTTATTAAAATCCTAAATCCTCCTGGACAACACACACCAACCCCGGACAACTACCCACCCCAACCTCCGGACATTACTTACTTCCTACTCATACCCCCTGGGGTATTTCGCATCCTACCTTATCCCCCTGGACTATTACAATCCTACTTATATCCTCCGGGCTATTAACTTCCTATCTAATCTCTGACTATTACTACATCCTATCTAATCCCTGGACTATTACTCCATCCTACTCACATCCCCGGACTATTTTAATCCCACTCTATATTTTCCTGGACTATTACTAATCCACTTACATCCTCCTGGGCATACTACTTCCTACTTATATCCCCTGGACTATCAAAACCATCTAATTTGGATATTACTCCATCCCATTATATCCTCCTACTTATTTCTCCCTCCTATTATATCCTCCTGGAATATAAACCTACTCTAATCCCCTGGACATTACTAATCCTACTTATACCCTCCTACTCTATTTTAATCCACTTATTCCTCCGGACTATTTCTCCCTCCACTCTATATCCCTGGACTATTAAAACCTACTTATTCCCCCGGACTATTACTACCCTATTATATCCTCCTACTTAACTAATCCTTTTTAAAATCCCTTGGACATTAGAATAGTCCCCGGGGATTAGAGTAGGGTGAGTAAAAGTATATTACACTCTACCTAATCCTCCCGGACTTTACTAAACCTACTCATATCCTCCTGGATATTTCTCCATCCTATCTTTTCCTCCTGGACTATACTACACCACTCTATATCCCCCGGATTTACTACTCCTACTTATACCCCCCCTTTTTCTCCCCTCACCCAATTCCCCCACTTCTTTTCCGGCACCACCTACCTTTCCCCTTAATTTCCCTCTTTAAACCCTACCTATTTAATACCTTTTCTCCTGACTTTTTTAAACCCAAGGGGTTTTAAGTTTTTAACCCCTCTTATTTTTCCGGTTTTCTCCTTTTCTTTTTCCCCTTGGCTTTTTCCCCCCCTTTACCCTGGCCCTTCAAATCCCTTTTGGGTTTTTCCCTCAATCTATTATTTTAAAATCCATCAACCCCGGACTATTCCATCCACCTATACCCGGGAATAACAACCACTCTTTTCCTCTGGACTATTTTCTACATCCTACTTATATTCCCCCACTATTTCAATCCTATTTTATTTCCTCCTGGAAACTAATTATTTTAAAATTTCCGGGGGTATTTAAAAAAATTATACCCGGGGTATTAACATCCTACTCTATATCCTCCTGGATTACAATCTACTTAATCTCCCGGATATTACTCTCCTACTCATACCTCGGACATACTACTCTATCTTATATCCCCTGGACTATAACATCCTATCAATCCCCCTACTATTCTAAATCCTATCTATTCCTGGGCTATTTTCCCCCCACCAATCCCTGGGCTATCACACCCCCTAAATCCCTTTGGGTATTATAACCCCATCTAATCCTGGACTTACTACATCCTATCTATATCCCCCGGGGTATTTCTACATCCTACTTAATCCCGGATTTATACATCCTATTTATATCCCCCTGGACTTTTAAACATCCTCTCTTTTAAACCCCTGGGCTAACAACCTATCTAATCCCCCTGGAATTATTTATCCTAATCATATTCCTGGAATTACTCATCCTACTTGAAACCTCCGGATATTACCCATCCCACTCTATATCCCCGGAAATTTTTACTACATCCTACTCTATATCCTCCGACTTTACTACATCTATCTAATCCTCCTGGACTATTTTCCCCTCCTATCAACCCCCGGACTATTTTCACCACCAATCCTCCCCGGGCTATTTCTAATCCCATTAATCCTGGGACATTATAAATCCCCACTCTATATCTCCTGGGCTATTTTAATCATCTATATCCTCCTGGACTATTTTACATCCTACTTATACCTCCGGACTTTTTTACCCACCTCTTTTCTCGGACTAATTTCCCTACTCTAAAACCCCCTGGCAACATACCAATTTTTCCTCCGGGGGCATTATAAAAATCTAAAATCCCCGGGAAAAACTTTTAATCAATTTTAAATTTTTGGAATTAAACCACTCTATATAAACCCGGACATTTTAAAAATTTTTTTGATATTTAAAATCCACCCCCAAATCCTGGGCTTTACTACATCCTATCTTATTCCCGGACTATTATACATCCTACTCTATTTGGACAACAACCCATCATACCTGGGTATTTAATAATTTCTTAACCCCGGACTAAAAACATCTATTATTTGGGGTATTTTTCCCACTAGACCCCCTGGAATTATAAAACTACTCTATTTTTCCGGACTATTTTCCCCCTATTATATTCCCTCCTGGATTACTCCCCTCCCACCTAATCCTCGGACATTACCATCCCACTCTAATCCCCCCTGGGGGCTATTTCTAAAACCTTTCCTAATCCTTGGGGGCATTATAATCCACTCTATATTGGGCTATTTCCCCATCCCCACTTAATCCCCCTGGATATTTTAAATTACCTATATTTCCCGGGGAATACAACCCACAATATCCCCGGGAAAAAATTTAAAAAACCACTTAACCTCCCGGACTATTTCTACATCCCAATCTAATCCCCGGGGCCCCATTACTCATCCTACCCAATTCCTGGAAATTAACCCTCCTCTAAATTTCCCCTGGGGTATATCATCCATTTTATTCTGGACTATTACTAATCCACTTATCCCGGATTTAAATAAACCTACCTATACCTCCTGGACTATTACTCATTACCATACCCCCGGTATTACTCATCCTTCTATATCCTCCGGGGCTATTATCATCCAATTATATCCCGGACCTTTTCTACATTACTTATATCCCATGGATTTTAATCAATCTATCTATATCATCCTGGACTATTATACATCCTACTCATTCCTCCGGATATTTCTAACCAAACTAACCTCGGAATTTACCCCACCAACCTAATACCTGGGACATTTCTTTCCCATCCACTTAATCCCCCCCGGGAATACTACTCCTACTCTATATCCCCTGGGCTTACTACACCTACTCAATCCTCCCGGACATTACTAATCCTACTCAACCCCAGACAAAAATCCACCTTTAACCCGGGAAATTTACTAATCCTATTATATCCTCCTGGACATACTCCCTCCCACTCTATATTCTGGATATTATACTCCACTCTAAACCCTGGTATTATTCCTAATTAATTCTTGGTTTACCCCACCACTCAAAACCCGGGACTAACTCCCACCAACCCCGGACAACCATCCTAAAACTAATCCTCCGGAATAACATCCCCTTTTATCCCCGGGGGAAAATTTTAAAAAACCTATAATCCTCCGGGGCTAACAATCCACCAACCCCACAACACATCCTATTAATCCCCGGATATTTCTACATCCATCTTATCCCCTGGACTATTACTCCCTACTCTTTTATCCTCCGGACTATTACTATTCCACCTTTTTATCCTCTGGACTATTATCCCCTACCCATATCCTCTGGGGCATTACTCCATCCCACCTATTCCTGGAATTAACATCCTATTATATCCCCGGGACTTATTTTAAAACCTATTAATTCCTGGACTATTTACATCCACTTTAAACCCCGGGGCTTTCTACTCCACTTATATCCTCCTGGACTTTTACATCCTATTTTATCCTTGGACATTACTAATCTCTTATACCTTGGCTATTACTAATCCTATCTAATTTGGACTATTTCTAATTTCCCACCTTTTTCCTCTGGGTATTTTACTTTACTCTTTAACCTCCGGACCCATTCTACATCCACTTATTTTCTGGACTATTACTACATCCTACTCTATATCCTCCTGGACATTTATACTTCCTACTCTATATCCTCCTGGACTAAGTGTATACTCCTTCTTGTTTTTGACAGGAAAGGATTGGTGTGTGTTAGAAATATGTCGTAAACTTCCACTAGCCATGGCAATCCAATGATTTGTTAAATACATGGGGAGTTGTACACACTTCAGGACAATCCAACCTAATCATCACACAAGCACCTTCACCGGTGCATCCTTATCAATCGTACTATGATGCTGTTAAATAACGTACGGGAGTAATGAATCCCTCTAGAGCAGGAGAGAGAGAGAGAGAGAGAGAGAGGAGAGAGCAGAGAGAGAGAGAGAGAGAGAGAGAGAGAGAGAGAGAGCTCTATGAAGAATGAGAATAGCGAGAGATATAGAGATCTATCTCGGCATACTCATACCCCTATATAGCTCGATCTCTCTCTCTATCTCTCGCTCTCTCTCTCTCTCTCTATCTCTCTCTCTATCTCTATCTCTCTCTCTCTCTATCTCTCCCCCCTACAGAACGAGTCCTCTGGCTGAGGCAGATGAGGGAGATGGAGGATCGTCTGGGAAACGAGGCTGGAGGTTATCAGGACTCCATCACCCGTCTGGAGTCTGAGATCGCCAAGATGAAGGATGAGATGGCTCGCCACCTCAGAGAGTACCAGGACCTGCTCAACGTCAAGATGGCCCTGGACATAGAGATCGCTACCTACAGGAAACTACTGGAGGGAGAGGAGAGCAGGTAGGACAGAGGGAGGAGTAGAGAGAGGGAGAGAGGAGAGGGAGGAGAGGAGTAGGGGGAGGGATAGTGGAGAGGGAGGGGAGGAGTAGGGGGAGGGATAGAGGAGAGGGAGGAAAGTAGTAGGGGGAGGGATAGAGGGAGGGGAGGAGAGAAGTAGGGGGAGGGATCCCAAAATAAATGTTTAAAGTGATCAAAACAAATTAAATTAGATGTGCAAGACATTTTATAGATAAAAGGAAGAAGTAGAATATTGTTTTGAAATGTGTGCACGCTTTTCTACTCAGACAAAACAACAGCTGATTCAAAGGGGGTGTGGCAGATATTAAAACTCTTCCTGGTAGGATACACTTGTGCTTCCTCACTAAAAGGAAGAAATGGAGGAGGGGAGGGGCCAACTTCCGTTTGACTACTAATGGCCTGACACTCCTCGACCACTTATCGGTTTCCGGGTCACAGAGGAGAGAGGATGGAGGAGAGAGGATGGAGGAGAGAGGATGGAGGAGAGAGGATGGAGGACGGACTTTTACCCAAACGAGAGAACCCCTAGGATTCCTCACATCCTCTCTCCTCGCCTTCATCTCAAACGCATTAGAGAAGAAGGTCGGATGGGAGAGCCCTCGGGACTTTCTCCTCCGTTACCATTGAGAAGGAGGGAGGAGATACGATGCAAGGAATTACAAAAGACACATTGAGATAGAGCCAGGGTAAAGGTTAGGGACGTCCTGTAGGTGAGGGAGGTCATCATCAACGGAATCAGCCACAACAGATTGTTGCAGGGACTTTCAAACAATCAAAAAAAACAGTCAAATATAAAAAAAAATGGAACGTTGAGCTGGCACTCAATAGGAGCACATCAAATATATCTAACCTGTCATTTCCTGTATGATTGTCTTCTCTCTGTCTTCCCCAGAATCACTGTTTCTGGTTCCCAGTCTTCTCACTCTGGCTCCCACTCGGCTGCTCACTCGGCTGCCTCATCATATTCCACTATTGGATTCAGAGGTGAGTAATGGAAATAACTGAGCAATCGCCAAGTGATCATTACAGGAAACGTTACGTGAACACGTTATGTGGGCAGCATCACATTTTACCACAAGGGGGAGTAGCGGCATCTGAAAATAGGTTGACAGTTGACACTACTTGACATGAATCGATGCATTTCAAGATATTGATATTACTAAGGGCCACAATATGTCTGTTGCCAGACAAATGAAAATAATGGAGCGTGATTAGACTTAATTGATTAAGGATGTCATAGTTCAACTGTGGCTTTTTGGGTTAGCTTGTGGTTGTTTTACCTCAGTCTCGCGGGCTCACTGCTGCTGTGGGAAGAGACTAAGGTTCCTTTTGTGGTTAGGTTGAGGTAGGGTTAGGTTGTGGTTTGGTTAGGTTGTGGTTGTGGTTGTGGCTAGGTTGAGGTTGTGGTTAGGTTAGGTTGTGGTTAGGTTGAGGTTGTCTTACTTGTGGTCTATACTTTCCATTCAAAACACCAGCCCAGAGATAGTTGGTTAGCCTTGAGTTGCCATCTTTCCAAGTCTCATTAAGCTTGAGAGCTGAGGCTAGGGTTAGACTGATGTGTTTTGGTTAGGTGGAGGTTGCGTTAGGTGGAGGTTGCGTTAGGTGGAGGTTGCGTTAGGTGGAGGTTGCGTTAGGTTGAGGTTGCGTTAGGTGGAGGTTGCATTAGGTTGAGGTTGCGTTAGGTGGAGGTTGCGTTAGGTGGAGGTTGCGTTAGGTGGAGGTTGCGTTAGGTTGAGGTTGCGTTAGGTGGAGGTTTGTGTTAGGTGGAGGTTTGCGTTAGGTTGAGGTTGCGTTAGGTGGAGTTTGCGTTAGGTGGAGGTTTGCGTTAGGTGGAGGTTGCGTTAGGTGGAGGTTTGCGTTAGGTGGAGGTTGCGTTAACTCTGTCCTCTCCCTACAGAGACCAGCCCAGACGCCGGGCGTTCATCAGAGGTCCACTCCAAGAAGACTGTTCTGATCAAGACCATCGAGACCCGCGATGGAGAGGTGAGTTAAACAGACAGAACGACACCAATATAGGCCTCATCTCAAATAACGCCTTATTCCCTTCATAGTGCACTACGTTTGACCAGGGCCCAGGACTCTGGACAGAAATAGCACACTATATAGGGAATAGGGTGCTATTTGGGACTTGGACATGGCATTTTATAGCCTTACAGTCATTTGATTAATTAATTTGGATCTAGATGAAATATTCTATGAGCGAGGGTGCTAGTGCTCTGTATGTAAGTGCAGTTTACATCTCAGCTGTTGACCAACCACCTTTAATTAACACACTTCTCCTTATCCTGACCCCCTCAATACTATGTTTTCTCCACCCTACCTCTGAGCATCTCACCCTCCTCTCACAGTTAAGAGACGTACAGAGGACACCAGGGTTGGGGTCAATATAATTTCAATTCAGACAATTCCTGAACTAAACAGAAATTCCTAATTCCAATTCCAATTTTTCTTCATAGAAAAGCATTGAGACGGCCTCCGGCACTGCATCGCAGTGCTTGAGGTGTCACTACAGACCCGGGTTCGATCCCAGGCTGTGTCACAACCGGCCGTGACCGGGAGTCCCATAGGACTGCGCACAATTGGCCCAGCGTCATCCGGGTTAGGGGGGGGGCTTTACTTGGCTCATCGTGCTCTAGCGACACCTTGTGGTGGGCCGGGCGCCTGCAGGCTGACTTCGGTCATCAGTTTAACGGTGTTTCCTCCGACACATTGGTGCGGCTGTCTTCTGGGTTAAGCTGGCGGGTCATGTTTCGGAGGACGCATAACTCGGCCTTCGCCTCTCCCGAGCCCGTTGGGGAGTTGCAGCGATGAGAAAAGATCGTAATTGGATCGCTATTGGATACCACAAAATCGGGGAGAAAAGAAGAAGAAGAGAACTCGGAATTGGAATTTCGGAATTGGAATTTCATTTTACTTCCTGAATTGACTGAACCCTGGAGGACATATTCTTCACACTAAAACTACAGTTGTTTAGTCACTGTCCTGTCCACACTTTAACTGTCCTTGTCTCCATCATATCTATATTTATTTTATTTTATTTATTGAACCTTTATTTTCACAGGAAAGTCCCATTGAGACCATGTCTCTTTTGGAAGAGAGCCCTGTTTCACAAAAAAAAAAAAAAAAGCAGCAGAAAAAACAAGGTACATAACAAGGAATGACTTCTACAGATAAAGGCAGTGTCATGACAAATACAACAATACAAAACATGCAATTAGAACGATAAAAAAAAACACGTACATTCGTTTAACCAATACCCTAAAATGCCCCGAGAGGCACTAGCACGTCTAATCGTAGGGTACTCTGAAATTTGTTCCATTAAAAACGAACGCTTGTTTAACCTAAATCGGTAGCTACTAAAGGAATTTCAAGAGTTATCCGTTCCTGTGAGCGTGTAAAGGTATTTCCTACTTCTGTGGGTCAGGAGCAATGTGAAGTAATATGGTAATTTCTGCAAGATAGCTATGTAAATTAATAGAAGGCAATGTTTCATAAATAAATACCAAAATATGATGTTGTATTGTTACATACACCGGATAGGTTCAGTGAAATGTGTTGTTTTACAGGGTCAGCCATAGTAGTATGATAGGTGCAGTGTAATGTGTTGTTTTACAGGGTCAGCCATAGTAGTATGATAGGTCCAGTGTAATGTGTTGTTTTACAGGGTCAGCCATAGTAGTATGATAGGTGCAGTGTAATGTGTTGTTTTACAGGGTCAGCCATAGTAGTATGATAGGTGCAGTGTAATGTGTTGTTTTACAGGGTCAGCCATAGTAGTATGATAGGTCCAGTGTAATGTGTTGTTTTACAGGGTCAGCCATAGTAGTATGATAGGTGCAGTGTAATGTGTTGTTTTTACAGGGTCAGCCATAGTAGTATGATAGGTGCAGTGTAATGTGTTGTTTTACAGGGTCAGCCATAGTAGTATGATAGGTCCAGTGTAATGTGTTGTTTTACAGGGTCAGCCATAGTAGTATGATAGGTCCAGTGTAATGTGTTGTTTTACAGGGTCAGCCATAGTAGTATGATAGGTCCAGTGTAATGTGTTGTTTTACAGGGTCAGCCATAGTAGTATGATAGGTCCAGGGTAATGTGTTGTTTTACAGGGTCAGCCATAGTAGTATGATAGGTCCAGTGTAATGTGTTGTTTTACAGGGTCCGCCATAGTAGTATGATAGGTGCAGTGTAATGTGTTGTTTTACAGGGTCAGCCATAGTAGTATGATAGGTGCAGTGTAATGTGTTGTTTTACAGGGTCAGCCATAGTAGTATGATAGGTGCAGTGTAATGTGTTGTTTTACAGGGTCAGTCATAGTAGTACGGAGCAAATTAGGGTTTAGGGCAGGGTTCTTCAATTCCGGTCCTGGAGGGCCGAAACACTTCTGTTTTTTATTTCTACCTGGTAGTTAATTGCACTCACCTGGTGTCCCAGGTCTGAATTAGCCCCTGATTAGAAGGAGAGGATGAAAAACAGAAGTGTTTCGGCCCTCCAGGACCGGAATTTAAGAACCCTGGTATTCAGTGCCTTGCTCAAGGGTTTTGGGTATTCTAACCTGCGATCTTTCGGTCACTGGGGCCCAACGCTCGAAACCGCTAAGCTGCCTGCTGATGACCAGACCGCTCTGACACAGTGATGTAATCCGTAATAAAGTGTGCTATGTATCCAATGATTTTAAAGACGCGACAGCAGCGTTCATACAGATTATGTCGCCCCATAGTCAAGGGCTGACAGGGGGATGGTTGACTGAATAATTGTTTTTCCTACTACCAAGTAATCTATTTCTGTAGAAGAAAGCCCAGTTTAACCCCTCGGTTTCTTCGTTAGCTCATCTACATGTTTTAAATGACAACTTTATTTATATGAGGGGACTCGTTCGTTATTGTATTTTGTATTCTGTTGTATTTTGTAAATGTGTGTGTAATTCTAAGATGCAGGGCTCCCTTGTGAAAGAGACATTGGTCTCAATAAAGGTACAATAAACAAATAGACATTGTCTCTCTAGGGGCCATCTGTTTGTTGTCTCTATGTGTCTGACCTTTCCACCCTGACTGACTGTCCTCTCCTCCCACAGGTGGTCAGTGAATCTACACAGCACCAGCAGGACATCATGTAAACAACAACAACAACAACAACAACAACAACAACAACAAAATAAACAACAAGTAAAAAATAAAAAAAAGGACGTTTACATGCCAAGATACGACGGCTGCTCTGGCTAGCTTTTCTAAGGAACGGCTCTTTTGAAAGGTCTCCTTTTGAGAGGGAGTGAGTTATTAACACCTTATGAAGAGTTATAACCACCTTATGAAGAGTTATAACCACCTTACGAAGGGTTATACCCGCCTTAGGTATGTTCATAACTCACTAACTCCTAGTAATCAGATTTTATGTGACCAATCACCAAAGGAGAAGAAAACAGAAGAACACAATATTACCGTAATCAGAAGGTAATGTTACAGTAATTAGAAAACAATGTTACCGTAATCAGAAGGTAATGTTACAGTAATTAGAAAACAATGTTACCGTAATCAGAAGACAATGTTATAGTAATCAGAAGACAATGTTACTGTAATCAGAAGACAATGTTACTGTAATCAGAAGACAATGTTACTGTAATCAGAAGGTGGGAACAAGGTGGAGTGAAAGTCAAGTCAGGTCATGGCCAGAACATGCAATGGCTAGAGGGGATCTCTGTAGTGCACGTTTGTTTGTGTGTGTGTCAGGGTCTATCTGCTTCACAATGTTTCACAGCCGATGATCTGAAATAAAATACAGTATATGTTGATTTGGCTTTTATTTACCAACCATCTCTGTGTGTAAATGGCTATCAAGTGAGAGTAACTTGATCAGTCAAGCATGGGTCATATATTATTCAGTGGATTAACAGTGAATTAAAACATGGATGGGCTTATTAATGAGCTACCCGTTCTTTTTGTTGTGCCATGACATTGTACTATGACAGATCTCAGTGTTTTACAGTGGA